CACACTGCGTTGTATGCAGCCGGCGTTGGGACAAACGATGAAGATTAAAATTAGAGATAATCAGGTATCCGCAAAACAATGAGTTCAGTCTTTCCATTGTATTTGCATATCCCCCCTTGGGGCCCACTGGAGTGGTACCTTGTTACCCTCAATTCTCACACTCCATCTCTCGTTCGAACGATTCTCGCTAGACGCACATTCTGGTGTTAAGTTAAGTAGAACGGTTTCCACGCCTTGTTGGTATTTGATTATGTATTTTCTCCCAACTCTTCCGGTTTAGCTGTGAACGTTGCGAAGATTAGTCTCCAAGAGATGGGTACATTTATTCTTTGCTCTTTCGAGCCCGAGAAACAAAATCCCCCTGAATGGTCAGTGCGAAAGAAGATAGTTTTCCAAAATTGGTGTTGATTACTAAATCCCCGCCTCCATCAATGCTATGTGTAAGCCCGGAGTAAATATTTGAAAATAATTCAGAAAATGAAATTCGTTCGTCATAAAACAACCAAACTCGATAGCTGTCCTTCAGGTAGCCGCTTGTTCTGGTTCCTTGCCAAAGCAACTTCCTGTGATTTTTGCTCCTCGTCCTCTGCCCCAGTCACAAACGCGTATGGCATTCTGGTATCCGGTCTATCCTGAAAGAGGCTGAGTTATTTACCTCCATCTAGCATTCTTGCCTCATCCACCATCCACATTATGCCATAAAATAACAAACAGCATCTCTGTCTGTATTCGTTATATGCATCCAAGCCAAACAAAAATGGTACTGCACCAATAGCGCTCAATAGCTACGCGCCCCCTTCCGTGGTCGTGTTTTCTTCATCTTTTTTCTCATGGCGTGTTTTCATGTGTTGAAAAACTGTTCACACATTTCCCATCGCCGCGAGGTGCATTCTGTGATCTAAACAACTCGCGTGCGATCACCCTTGTCCAGCCCTTTTTTATGGTCATAGAAATCGTGATTGTAAAAACAACTTGGTTGTCACTTGGGACAACGCGAGTTTCTCATCGATCGCCAATATGACTTCTGTTGTCACAAATTCATCGACTACCTACTGGCATACAATTCACATTCGTGCCGTTGACCACCGTGGTCAGTCGGTATCCCTCGATAAATCTAAGGCGTTTGGTGTAGGAAAGCCTAACAGGCCCTTGCCATGTTTGTATTTCTTTACTGGAATACAAAACTATATTGCTGATATCGATCAGTGTTGATGAGGTCATTTCGAAGGCAAGGGCAGTATGTGTTGGCACTCTATAAGATTCGATGCTATCTCCCACACACCATAACGCAACCTTATGGATCAGACTCTGGTTGGTCGAATGTTTCGTTTTTTAATCACCCAAGAACATTTACCTGCTTACTCTGATCAACCTGGTAGTAGACTCACGAGAAAATCAGGACTGATTTCTTTGTTATAAAGATTGCCTCGTCTTGATTAGTCTTGTACACATTCCAGAATCAGGTAGGTGTGAAATAAAATATAAATGCGGCGAATAACGTAAAATAACCTGTAACCCAAAGATTCAGGTAATAAGGACTAAGTTGAAGTACTATTCCAGGGGATTCAAGTCAACACCAAGTTCAATCTTAAACCTATAGAAGGCACAGTAGGATCGAATTGCGCAGGGAACGCCCGTTTTCAGAACACCTTAGAAATCGTTTGAGACAAACTTTTCCTAACGAGTAAAGCTGCTAAACAATTTGATCTCACCCGGTTTTGCCATTTTAAAAAATCGTCGAATTATTGATTGATATCACTCTGTCACGTTTGCATCACGTGATAACAGTGTGATTTTATGAAAGAGTAAAACGTAAATAAAACCATCGATTAGACGCCGACAGTCAATGAAACGTTCGAATGGGCAGATTCTTTGCAAATGATTGCCGAATGTCAAATACGGGGTGAAGAATAGGTTTGAGGTAAATTTATCTAAGGAACGTCACCCTGAAAAATCTAACAACTTGGTTTGTACAGAGGGACGGGGTATATAGGTTGATAGAGTGAAATTACCGGATGTCAAGTGTGTTTAATGCTAGTCATTGACACTAAGATATGGAAGCAAACTGGTCAGCTTTTCACTTCGCCTCGCCTTTTCAGCATTAGTACACAGACATACAGACAAAGTACTTTTCAGTAAGAAACACGAACGAAAGACATGAGCAAGAGTGCAAATCGGTGAACCGAAACGACATCAATGTTGCATCCCTTGTCAATTTTAGAAATAGATGCTGTATTTTTTAAATAGATGGACTGATTTAAACAGTTCGATCAAGACATGAACAACTGTTTCTAGTTATTACATTCGAACGATTTTGTACCAATGTGATCACGTGATATATTCAAGGGAGTCTAATTAGGTCAGGTCATGTGTTTATGGGACTAAGTGTTCGGTATATTCATACCCTTTAAATCGGTCATCTGAATCCGAGTTAGCTCAGTTTCTCAGTTTACATACTCAGTTTCAAATAAAAAAAAACAATACCTTTAAGATTATGTCGCTCTTAAAAGTTTCAGTGCTCCTGAAGCTGGGTGAAGCCTCGTTCCCAATTGAAAAGTGATCCCAAGGAGTATATGCCCCTAACTACTGGCGCTATAACTCAATTAATGAACCACTGCCAGCCAGCTCATGGGGGGGAAGCAGTTACCAAAATCCCCAACGAGAAATACATGAACTAGATCTAACACTTTCGATGGCGGTGGTTTTTGAGAATGTATGTTGATTGACGGAGCCCAGTACATTGGGTATCACTTGGGTAACACTTGGTCGTCTCGCTTCAGTTTTTCAGTTTCAACAACCATTAGGCACGCACTTTCGTGCATCGCTTTTGGTTGCTGTCTTTTGGCTGTCCATTTGGATGAACAATAGGAGGAAAAGAGGAAGGTTGAAAGTAGGATCGAAGAGAAAATTGTTAAGTTCAGTGGAATAGTGTTGCAAGGAAAATGAGAAGATGAACGAACGCCACTGTTTACGACACCCAGCCATATCACTCTGTGTCTCTAACCATCGGATACGATCATCTCGAGGTCCCCATCTAAGGAGCCTAACAGAACCTGTGACCCAGACTCTTAGTTAGGGTTTTCATGTCCTCATGCCAGGTCTTAGCTTGACCACCCTTGGCCTTATTCCACCCATTACCTGCTTCGGCAAACATCGCTCACCGTGGCAACCTATTTGGTGACACGCGTCACACGCTGTCACGATCAATAACATTCTCATTTTTGTCTTCTCCCGACTGATTGATTGTATCTTACTTGGAGAGGAGGGGGAGGATAACTCGCTGGAAATTGCATACCCTGATCGCGAAGATCATCAGCTCGATTCGGTAATAGGGTGTCGGCTATTCAAGATGCGTGAACAAAGTCCTAAGGGTGCACGTTCTATCTGACCAGACACAAGTTTCAACTGCTTTCGCTAAAAGCCACCTGGCTGTCCTATGAATCAGGCTCTAGCCAATTGAAGGTTCTCTTTGAGTCTATAGGATCATTATCTGATTCAACCTCGGAAAATTTGGTAATGCTGCACGCACAAAAATCATGGACCAATCGACATTCCTTATGGATTTAATATTTCGATCTCTATACTCGCATACCACCGGTCGTGTAAGGGTCTATGATGAACTAAGTAGGCCGTTCGCCACCAGCAGCGGCCTTCGTCAAGGATGACCTCTCGCCGTTCCTGTTCAATTTCGTCATAGACGAAATACTGAAGAACGCACTAACTGATCTCCAAAACGTAGGTATTGAATGGGCAGCTGGAGAAAAGCTGTGCGATTTAGAGTACGCCAATGACGTCGTCTGTTTGTTTGAATGTACGGAGGACGCGCAAAGCACACTTGATAGATTAACAAGTGCAGTAGCCACATCCGGTATGTGCTTTGCACCTTCAAAGTGCAAAGTGATGCTGCAGGATTGGATTTCGCCTACTCCCGCTCTGAAACTAAATGGCCAGGAATTAGTTACGGTGGATTACTTTTCCTACTAAGGTAGCTGCGTGACCAATGACGGTAGTGCAGCAAAGGAGATAACCGCATGCATTTCCAAGGCTCGAGCAGCATATGCAGGACTGAAACACCTTTGGCGTAGACACGACGTTTCACTGAAGCTGAAAGGTCGTGTATACTGCGCCAACGT